GAGAGAGAGAGAGAGACAGAGAGAGAGACAGAGAGAGAGAGAGAGAGAGAGACAGAGGAGAGACAGAGAGAGACAGACAGAGAGAGGAGAGACAGAGAGAGAGAGAGAGAGAGAGAGAGACAGAGAGAGACAGAGAGAGAGCACAGAGAGAGAGAGAGACAGAGAGAGAGACAGAGAGAGACACAGAGACAGAGAGAGACAGAGAGAGACAGAGAGAGAGACAGAGACAGAGAGAGAGAGAGAGACAAAGACAGAGAGAGACAGAGAGAAACAGAGAGAGAGAGAGAGAGAGAGACAGAGAGAGACAGAGAGAGAGACAGAGAGAGACACAGAGACAAGGAGAGACAGAGAGAGAGAGAGACAGAGAGAGAGACAGAGACAGAGAGAGACAGAGAGAGAGACAGAGAGAGACAGAGAGAGAGAAGAGAGAGGAGAGAGAGAAAGAGAGAGAGAGAGGAGAGACAGAGAGATAGAGACAGAGAGACAGAGAGACAGAGAGATAGAGAGAGAGATAGAGACAGAGAGAGAGAGAGAGAGAGAGAGAGAGAGACAGAGAGAGAGAGAGAGACAGAGAGATAGAGACAGAGAGACAGAGAGACAGAGAGATAGAGAGAGAGATAGAGACAGAGACAGAGAGAGAGATAGAGACAGAGACAGAGAGAGAGAGAGAGAGAGAGAGAGACAGAGAGATAGAGACAGAGAGACAGAGAGACAGAGAGATAGAGACAGAGAAGATAGAGATAGAGAGAGAGAGAGAGAGAGATTGATCATTAACCAATAAAAACATTGGCGGACTTTTATCTTTGTTGCCGGTGATGACACTGGTTTGATATCATTGGACTTTTAAATGACATGTTTACATATTCACGCCCCTGTGACGTTTCTCCTTCATTCTGAAAGTGGTGGACGTCGTCATAGAGGAGAGACGTCGCCATATGAACGTACAAAGACGTGATGAGGGCGGAGCTTAGTGACATAAACGCAGTGTGAAAAGGGTTATCGTTGAATGTTTTGGTATCATGACGACTTTAAAAAACAAACTTTGTGTAACATCCTAAAAAGTTGATTTCAGTTTAAATAAAAACATTTACTTTCGACTTCGGGACATTTTTATCGTTTTTAAGCCTTTAAATATTTTTATACATTTATTGTTAGCGTTAAGCATCATGCCCCCCCTCCCCCCCCCCTCTCTCCTGAACCTTCTACCTGCTCAGGTGTGTTTTCTGAACGTGTTGCTTTGAGAGAGAAAAGGGAGACTGTCTCTTTAAATTGTAGAGGGAGGGGGGAGTCACGGAGGGGGGGGGGTCACGGTTAATACGTCACAGAGCTGAGGTGACATGAACACTCACGAGCCGGTTTGAACAGCACGAGATGTTTCTGGAACATCTCAGAAAGGGGCGGGGCTACGAGAACATGTCAACAACGAGGTGTTGCGCAATAACCTGGAACATGAGAGAGACTGCACCATGCTCACACTTTTTATCTTTTCAATATAAACTTCAGGATCACATGATGACGTCACGCTGCACGTTTTCTTCATTTTTATATAAAAACCCCACTATGTGCGCATGCGCCTCAGCTCAGAGCTGTCACAGCATGCAGCTCCGCTCAGTGTGTGCTGCGTATCTGCTGCGCACACACCTGAGCAGCTGCAGCCAGGTAACAGGAGGAGGCTGCGCAACTAACTTTAACTTCATTTATTACGTCATGCGTTGTTTTTCTGCACGTGAGTACAGAGTGTGACCCCGCGCGGCAGGTGACAAATCACAGAAAAAAAGGTTGAAACTCCATCCTCCTCCTCCTCCTCCTCTTACCTTCCTCACTCTCTTCTTGGTGATGGACTCCACAGCGAACACCTGGTCACCTATCGATGACAGCTCCATCTCCTCCACGCGCTCCAGAGAGAGAGTGATGAAGAGGAGTAAACTGAACAGACTAGTTAGACCAGTTAGACCAGTTAGACCAGTTAGACCAGTTAGTATCACACTCTGTTAGCACAGAGAGCCGTGAGTGATGAAGAGGAGTGTGTCTCTCTCTCTCTCTCTGAACTCCCTCTCTCACTTTTTGAATCTGCGACACATCAACACAGGATAGCGGGCGCGCCCCCTTTCCATTACGTAGGACCAAGCCCCCAATGAACGTGCCCGCACTGACGAGGCCGCGCACGCAAATTAGAGCATAGTGCAGCGGGGGGGGGGGGGGGGGATTAACAAGGTTACAATGTTAAACTTACGTTTTAAAGAAACAGAACACATATTTACATATTTACACTCTTTATTTCACTATTTCATGTCGATCAGATTTCTTCATTCAAACATCTATATTACACCCCCCCCCCCCCCCCCTCCCCACTCCCCCCCCCCTCCCAGTGTGGCTATCTGCCGCCGTGCCCGGATACTCGCGTGAAGCTGAGGAAGGAGCGGGAAAAACAACACATCAGCGCTCGCGATCATTACCGCCCACACGTGATGACTCATGTATGAGTCACCGAACGTGACGGCACACACACACACACACACACACACACACACACGGTCTCTTGGAGCCTCATACCGGGAATCCGTGCCGTTCTGAGTTATTGGTCTCTTTTCCCGGTTTACGTTATTTTTCCAGTTAAACTTCTTTCTTTGTGTTTCTACACTGTAAACATTTACAGACACTTTTACTACATCTAGGCCTTCTGCTTTTTTTCAGTTAGTTAAAAATAATATAAAATACCAAAATACCCCCCCCCCCACAATAAAATCGGTTTGGCGTATTATTAATATATTTTACATTTAACTATTTTTATTTGAATGCATGCTAAATATTCATTTTAAAATAAGTAATTAATTTTTTATATGAATATATTTAACGGATCACTCAACATCCTCTTTTCTCTTCACCTCTGGGAGTTCTCCAATCACACAGAGGGGGGCGTGTCTAAGGGGAGCGAACAGGAGTACAGGCAGCTCATCGAGTGAGCTCAATGCCAGCAAGACAAAGGAGATGGTGATTGACTTCCCAGACTGCACTGAGGAACATCCAGGGCTCGGACATACCTGGGTGTTCACCTCAACAACAAACTGGACCGGTCTCACAACACACACATCCTGTACAAGAAGGGCCAAAAGGTGACTACACCTGCTGAGGAGACTGAGGTCCTTTGGAGTGTGCAGGACTCCGATACAGACTTCTTATGACACTGTGATGACGTCTGCACGGGTCTGTCCTGGACTGGACTCTGGACTCTGAAGAGGAGCATCATGGACAACCCCTCTCACCCCCTGCATGACACCGTAGGAGGGTCTGAGCAGCTCCTTCAGCACCAGACTCAGACACCCACCCTGAAAGAAAGAAAGAGCGCCCCCCGCAGGTCGTTCCTCCCACCTGCAGTCAGACTGACTAACAGCGTCATCACACACATGCTGTGTGTTTCAGAATAACCAAAGTGGATTTAGTATATTTTAATGTTTAATTAATTAATGTAAATATTGTTTGTTGTTTTTTTGTTTTTTTAGCTTTTAACAACGTGTACCTCAATGGGGATGAATAAAGTTTTATCATATTTACAATCACTACTGTTCACCATCCTTCCATCAGGCACTGGTCTGCCCTTCCATCAGGCACTGGTCTGCCCTCCCATCAGGAACTGGTCTGCTCTCCCATCAGACACTGGTCTGCCCTCCCATCAGGAACTGGTCTGCTCTCCCATCAGACACTGGTCTGCCCTCCCATCAGGAACTGGTCTGCTCTCCCATCAGACACTGGTCTGCCCTCCCATCAGCAACTGGTCTGCCCTCCAACATGGCGTCTTTTAGTCGATCCTCGGGATGAAGCGGCTGCATTAGAACCTAATGTCATGTTCATTAACGTAAAAACAGGAGAAAGGTGAGAGGATATTTAGCCTGTGTGTGTGTGTGCGTGCGTGCGTGCGTGAGTGCGTGCGCATGTGTCTGCACTCACTCGCTCGCCGGACTGACAGGAAAAAGGCAGAGGGAAGTCAGACATGCAGCTCGCCACGTGTAAAAATGCCACGTGTGAAATCAGAAAAGGTTCAAAGATTTATCGTCTGAGTCAAAACGAACGTGAAACGGAAATAACACAAAGAGGAAGTGAAACGAGAGCTGAACGCAGTTTCATATTTTTATTCACAGAAGAAGAGACGAGTTGAAATCCTTTAAAATGCTTTGAGTTTATTCAGTAACCACGAAGAAGACACAGATAAAAAAACACATCAAACAATCAGCTGAAGAGTTTGTGATCTCACAGCGTGACTCCGCCTCCTCCTGACCACGATGAATACACTATATCTCCATGACAACGCTCAAATGTTGTAACATGAGGGTCCATTAAAGGTCAGAGGTCGCTCAGGTCAACCTTCCTGTTAAAAGGTCAGAGGTCGCTCAGGTGACAGATTCTTGTGTCTGTTTGAAGCTGATGCTCACAGTGATGGAAAGTTCAACGATGTGACGTTTCTCCTCTACTCTGACCATCACACAGCAACGCAGGCGCCTCATTGGTCAACCCAGCTGTCCATCATGGTGTCATACTCCTCTTTTAAAATAACTGATTCAAACTAAACTTGTCAGAAAAAAGAGATGAATGAAACCCAAAATGACGTGAGATTATCATGATGTGTCCCATCTGTTAACATGGAGGACTATGAGCTGTACCGCAGCCGGTCAGCAGGGGGAGCTCCAAACAGGTGGTGATGAGGCCTGAACACAGAGGGTTAAATCTTAGTTTGAGCTCCGCCAGCTCTCCGACGTTATTTCTATGTAAAACCGTTCTCAGAATTGCAGTGACTGTTTCCTGTTTCCTGTGACGTAAAAACACATCAGTTGTCACCTGAAAGAGAAAGGACGTGAATTAAAAACCAGGGGGAAGGCAGACCCTAAAGACCACCTGTATGTACCTCATGACACACCTGTATGTACCTCCTCATGTTACACCTGTATGTACCTCCTGTCACTCCTGTATGTACCTCATGTTACACCTGTATGTACCTCCATGTTACACCTGTATGTACCTCCATGTTACACCTGTATGTAACTCCTCATGTTACACCTGTATGTACCTCATGTTACACCTGTATGTACCTCCTGATGTCACACCTGTATGTACCTCCTCATGTCACACCTGTATGTACCTCATGTCACAGCAGCCGTCACCTCTGAGGACAGGTGACTCGGGTGTGGCCCGGCATGCTGCAGATTCCACAGGTACGAGCTTTCTTAGCAGCTGGAGGTTTGTTAGCAGAGTTATCTGCCGTTATCTTCCTCGCCTTCTTCTCTCTGTCTCCATGAAATCCTCCGAGTCCTCCTGAAACAGAGAGCAGAGGACAGGCTCAATGCTGTGAGGTCAGAGGTCACTGACAGAAACAAATATAAGAAGATGGTTGTGTTGTTGTGGTGTTTGATCTGTGTGTGTCTCACCTGGCAGCGGCATGTTCTCGTCAGCCCACAGGAAGAACCCACACTGTTGTTCTCGAGGTTTGTTGCAGGTGTGAAACGTTCGTCCTTTATTCGGTCCGTCTTTCTGCACCGTCTTGGTCACCGCCGCCTCGTTACAGTTACACATTGTCTGACCTGCTTCCTCCCCCTCCTCCCCCCTGCCGCCTCCTCCTGCAGGACTGTTCCTGAACCCCAGAGAGGGCCTTGGAGGCTGTGGTGTCTGCAGAGGAGGCCCTCTGCTCTGTTGTGCCCCCTGCTGGCTTGGCTGGTCCGCCCACAGGAAGAAGCTGCAGCTGTTGGCGCTGCACTTGTAGAACTTGCGGCCGTGGTTTGGACCCTCTTTACGCACGGTGAGGAGGAGAGCGGTCTGCCCACAGTTACACATGATGACATCACTGCTGGTGTCCGTGCCCACGCTGCCCCCTGGTGGAAGCCTCTGCTGCAGGGTCCAGGAGGGGACAGGAGGGAGGGAGGGTCGAGGGTTTGACGTCCTGGGTGGTTTTGGTCTGGGGGGCCTTGGAGCAGGGGGAAAGTGGTCCTCTGCCCCGCCCCCCCCTCCTCTGAGGTATTTCAGGTCCAGAACTTCTCTGAGCGTCTCGTCACAGCCTCCGATGCAGCCCACAAACTCCAGCGGCATGATGGGAGGGAGGCTGCCTCTGCGAAACTTGAACTTCAACCTGAAAACAGAAAAACACACTAAGAAGAGGAAGGTTAAACCAGCACCTGCTCAGGTGAGATACAGGTAAAAAACAAACAGGAAGTGCTCATGTTGACTAACTGAAAGTCAATCCTGAGAAAAACAGAACACCTGAGGTCAGTGTGTGTGTCTGTGTGTGTGTGTGTGTCAGTGTGTGAATTGCTGTGAACAACGGTTGTTCCATTAACAGATGCTTGGGTGCAGCACTTTAGCTCGATGCTTGTGGCCTATACTTGGACCGACACATGCTTTAGGGGTTAAAACCCACCTGGAAAAAACAAGAATTTACATGTAAAGTTTCTTATGGAGCTGAAGAGAGAGAGGGAGAGAAAGAGAGCAAGGGAGAGAGAGAGAGGTTAGCCTTACATGTGAATGGGGCGTGGCTGACAGCTCTGACACACGCCATCGTCTCTGCTGACCTCTAGGACGGAGTCAGGAAACCACACGGCTGATTTACACGCAGGGTAACCAACGCAGGTCAGGAATTTACTACACTCACACACACACACACACACACACACACACACAAATGACTTGTTAGTTCTCAGCTGAGTGAAAGACACAGGATGAGTGTCTTTGTTTCGTGTCTCACCTGTTCCCCTCCCTCTTCTTCTTCAGCACCATGTCCCGCCCACACTGAGGACACTTTCTGACTGGCTGAGGGATCTCCAGCTCCTGCTGTTCTGCCTCAGGGATCACCTGAGCTGCTCCCAGATACGGCTCCAGAGCATCATCCAACCTGACACAGAAGTGACCCTGACATGATCTGGCTCATGAAAGTACAGATGAAACATTTCACACGTGGTCACTCACTTCTTTGCTTTCCTCGCCGACTCCATGAAAACGGTTTTATATTTCAGGATGTAATGTTGAAGCACGCTCAGTTTGTCCTTCCTGCCCTCAGAAACCAGCTTCAGATCCGCCTCCAACTCAGCTCGCAGGTTTGGTTTAGACATCTCATAACCCATTGAGTTATACCCTACACACACACACACAAACACAGCAAGATCCCTAACCTCCTCACCAACTTTGACTTCTTTCAAAAGTTCTTAATGTTTCTGTGACGTGTGTTCAGGAGTCTCTGACTTCATATGAAGCTGTGTGTGTGTGTGTGAGTGTGAGTGTGAGTGTGAGTGTGTGTGTGTGTGTGTACCCTCCACCAGTCCCATGCCAAGCTCTCCTGGTAGAAACCTCTGATCAGCGGTCAGACCGACGTACATCCGACTCTTTATTGTCTCAATGTGGTCTGCATGTGTCGCATCTGTGCCTGTAAAAATACACACACACAGACACACAACTACACTTTTACACCTCATTCACAAGTTTTGTTTGATGTTGCTTTGTTTGCTTAGATTACTTTGTAATAGTTATTTGTGTGATTGAGTTTCATTGACTGACTTGATGTTGCTTTGTTAAATAAATTCAGTTATAATTTAAGAGAGCAGTTGTTTGTGATTACTGGTGTATTTGCATTGTGATATAAGCTGGGTGTGAGGGCTTTGTGTACGGATTTCATGCCTTCAATTTATTAAATACAGTTATTAATTATAAATAATATTAGTAAGTAATAATTAGTTTTGGGCGGCAGTAGCTCAGTCTGGAGGGACTTGGGTTGGGAACCGGAAGGTCGCCTGTTCAAGTCCCGGTGCGGACCAAATATGGAAGTTGATCTGGTAGCTGGAGAGGTGCCAGATCGCTTCCTGAGCACTGTCGAGGTACCCTTGGAGGCACCAAACCCCCTCCCCACCACTAGCTCAGGAGCGCCTGCCAGGGGCCGCTCCGTCACTCTGACATCTCTCCATTAGTGCATGTCCATGTGTGTATATTTCAGCCTGTGTGTGTTGCATGACTTACAGAGTGTAAAAACAGAATTTCCTCTTGCGGGATCAATAAAGTCAATCTTAATCTTAATTAAGCAACTAGTTTGAGACTGATTTTAGTGATATTTTGGTTATTTTCCCCTGAGTCAATTAAACATAGTTTAATAACACTGTTATTTATATTAATAAATAATGAAATATAATTATTAATAATATAACCAAATTTGGCTAGATAAAACCCCAACAAATGGTGCCCCGTGTGAGGCATTCAATAAAAACCAGTTTTATTGCACTGTTAATGCACAGTAATCAGAATTTTTAATCCTAAAAGAGATTTTTCTTGAGGAAAAAGATGAGTTTTGAAGTTTAAGGTGTGCAAGGTATGTGCACCCTTGGATGAAGAAACAGAAAGAGAGAGGGAGAGGAAGGTGTATGTGTGTGTACCGATGCCGTGTTTCTCCATCAGTGAGATGAGGTCGGCTTCAGTCAGCAGCTGAGGAGGACTCGTCTGACCGTCCAACATCTCGATCGAAGACGGCTGAAACTGAGAGCCCTGCTCATACACCGGGATCAACTACACACACACACCACACACACACGCACACACGTTATTAAAACCCCTGAGCAGAAAGTCGATCTCACTGAGTCCTCCGAGCTCTTCCAACACTCACCTTGGTGCTCCACCTGTCGTACGGGTAAACATCCAGGTAGTTCCTCTCAATGATCATGAGTCCTGAGGTGGAGAACTTCTCCTGAGCGATGTCAATGTCTACGACCGTCTCCTGCCCCAAAGCATCCTGGGAAACACAGGCCAGGAAGTGTCTGACGATGAACTCGTACAGACGACCTTCGTTTCCCTGAAAACCAAGAAAAAAACATGACATCACTTTTGATCTGGTTTGTCTCCACGAGTTGAAAATACAGGAACCTGATCACCTGTTCAGGTGAGTCACATATTAAGCTCCGCCTCCTCCACGCCTACCTGCAGAGAGCTGCTGTACTTGGTGGGGTGAATGGGGGGATGGGCCTGGTCAGATTTCTTGCCCTGTCGGGGGTTTGGACCTTCTAGCTGATCGAGGACACGTTGAGCAAACGTCCCCCATGCCAGACTGTGAGTCTGCTGCTCCACTAGGGGGCGCAGCGGCAGGTTAGGGGGGAACATATTGGTCTCTGTGCGGGGGTAGCTGATGAACCTGAAGAAGAACCACACAGGTTTATAACCTTTCACACGCTCTGTTTCAGACGTCCTCCTGTTGGCTTTCACCTGCAGCCTGGGTCAGGGTGAAGTCCTGAAGCCGTTAAGAGTCTGGAACTTTCAGAGTGAGAGAGTGGGCTCAGTTCTCTAATGTTGTGTTTGTGTTGTAGTGACACTCTTAGACCCCCCTCCTCCGGCACACGCTTACACCCCCCCTCCTCCTGCACACGTTTACACCCCCCCCTCCTCCTGCACACGCTTAGACCCCCCCTCTCCTCCTGCACACGCTTAGACCCCCCTCCTCCTGCACACGCTTAGACCCCCCTCCTCCTGCACACGCTTACACCCCCCTTCTCCTGCACACGCTTACACCCCCCTCCTCCTGCACACGCTTAGACCCCTCTCCTCCTGCACACGCTTAGATCCCCCTCCTCCTGCACACGCTTAGACCCCCCCTCCTCCTGCACACGCTTAGACCCCTCTCCTCCTGCACACGCTTACACCCCCCCTCTCCTCCTGCAGACGCTTAGACCCCTCTCCTCCTGCACACGCGTACACTCCCCTCTCCTCCTGCACACGCGTACACTCCCCTCCCCTCCTGCACAGGCTTACACCCCCCCTCTCCTCCTGCACAGGCTTACACCCCCCCTCTCCTCCTGCACACGCTTACACCCCCCCTCTCCTCCTGCACACGCTTAGACCCCTCTCCTCCTGCACACGCTTACACCCCCCTCTCCTCCTGCACACGCTTAGACCCACCCCCCTCTTCTCCTGCACACGCTTACACCCCCCTCCTCCTGCACACGCTTACACCCCCCCCTCCTCCTGCACACGCTTAGACCCCCCTCCTCCTGCACACGCTTAGACCCCCCTCCTCCTGCACACGCTTAGACCCCCCCTCCTCCTGCACACGCTTAGACCCCCCCTCTCCTCCTGCACACGCGTACACCCCCCTCTCCTCCTGCACACGCTTACACCCCCCCTCTCCTCCTGCACACGCTTACACCCCCTATCTCCTCCTGCACACGCTTATACTCCCCCTCTCCTCCTGCACACGCTTACACCCACCCCCCCTCTCCTCCTGCACACGCTTACACCCACCCCCCCTCCTCCTGCACACGCTTACACCCACCCCCCCTCCTCCTGCACACGCTTACACCCCCCCTCTCCTCCTGCACATGCTTACACCCCCCTCTCCTCCTGCACACGCTTACACCCCCCCTCCTCCTGCACACGCTTACACCCCCCTCTCCTCCTGCACACGCTTACACCACCCCTCCTCCTGCACACGCTTAGACCCCCCCCTCCTCCTGCACACGCTTAGACCCCCTCTCCTCCTGCACACGCTGAGACCCCTCCTCTCCTCCTGCACACGCTTAGACCCCCCCCCCCCCTCCTCCTGCACACGCTTACACCCCCTCTCCTCCTGCACACGCTTAGACCCCCCTGTCCGGGTGGCGAGCAGGGCAGCGCCACCATCAGTGAGACTGAGCACGTGTTAGGACAAAGACGACACACACTCACCCCTGCGTGTAGAGTTTTTCTGCTATTTTCATCGTTTCTTTAGCGTTTATTCTTAACTTCCGAGAGGCGAGTTTCTCCAACTCCTGTAAACAGAAGAGAGACGTTTACACACACACACCAGTGTTTCCCCTATGTTTACAGCGTTGGGGGGATGGGGACAAGCCGACATGACGACACAAACACTTGATGGAATCTTGGTGTTCACGTGTTACTTTTAATGTTGACTTAAATTTTAAATTACTTCTTTTCCCTGATTTCCGACTCTATTCACTATCTTACCTCTACAATAAAGGCACAAAAAGCCCAAAAATAAATTTGTAAAAAATATAATATATATATATTTTTTTTACACACACACACACACACACACACACACACACACACACACACACACACACACACACACACACACACACACACACACACACACACACACACACACACACACACACACACACACACACACACACACACACACACACACACACACACACACACACACACACACACACACACACACACACACACACACACACACACCTTACCACCGTGTCCAGAGGTACAGGTCTCCACTTGCTCTTCGGTTTGCTGGTTACCGAGGTGACGGTTGCCATGGGATCCTGCACAGAAAAGACGTTCACATGTGTGTTTTTCTACACGTGACATTTATTCCTTTTTTTATCCAACAACATACACATGAGCACACAGGGTTCTGTTCAACATGAGTTTGGTTCTGATCCAGGTTTCTGTCTGTTCAACGTGAGTCTGGTTCTGATCCAGGTTTCTGTCTGTTTCACATGAGTCTGGTTCTGATCCAGGTTTCTGTCTGTTCATCATGAGTCTGGTTCTGATCCAGGTTTCTGTCTGTTTCACATGAGTCTGGTTCTGATCCAGGTTTCTGTCTGTTCAACGTGAGTCTGGTTCTGATCCAGGTTTCTGTCTGTTTCACATGAGTCTGGTTCTGATCCAGGTTTCTGTCTGTTCATCATGAGTCTGGTTCTGATCCAGGTTTCTGTCTGTTTCACATGAGTCTGGTTCTGATCCAGGTTTCTGTCTGTTTCACATGAGTCTGGTTCTGATCCAGGTTTCTGTCTGTTCAACGTGAGTCTGGTTCTGATCCAGGTTTCTGTCTGTTTCACATGAGTCTGGTTCTGATCCAGGTTTCTGTCTGTTCAACGTGAGTCTGGTTCTGATCCAGGTTTCTGTCTGTTTCACATGAGTCTGGTTCTGATCCAGGTTTCTGTCTGTTCAACGTGAGTCTGGTTCTGATCCAGGTTTCTGCCTGTTCAACATGAGTCTGGTTCTGATCCAGGTTTCTGTCCGTTCTACGTGAGTCTGGTTCTGTTCCAGGTTTCTGTCTGTTCTACGTGAGTCTGGTTCTGATCCAGGTTTCTGTCCGTTCTACATGAGTCTGGTTCTGATCCAGGTTTCTGTCTGTTCTACATGAGTCTGGTTCTGATCCAGGTTTCTGTCCGTTCTACATGTGTCTGGTTCTGATCCAGGTTTTTGTCTGTTCTACATGAGTCTGGTTCTGATCCAGGTTTCTGTCCGTTCTACATGAGTCTGGTTCTGATCCAGGTTTCTGTCTGTTTTACATGAGTCTGGTTCTGACCCAGGTTTCTGTCTGTTCATCATGAGTCTGGTTCTGATCCAGGTTTCTGTCTGTTCAACGTGAGTCTGGTTCTGATCCAGGTTTCTGTCTGTTTCACATGAGTCTGGTTCTGATCCAGGTTTCTGTCTGTTCATCATGAGTCTGGTTCTGATCCAGGTTTCTGTCTGTTTCACATGAGTCTGGTTCTGATCCAGGTTTCTGTCTGTTCAACATGAGTCTGGTTCTGATCCAGGTTTCTGTCTGTTTCACATGAGTCTGGTTCTGATCCAGGTTTCTGTCTGTTCAACATGAGTCTGGTTCTGATCCAGGTTTCTGTCTGTTCATCATGAGTCTGGTTCTGATCCAGGTTTCTGTCTGTTTTACATGAGTCTGGTTCTGATCCAGGTTTCTGTCTGTTTTACATGAGTCTGGTTCTGATCCAGGTTTCTGTCTGGTTCTGGCACGAAAGTGAACGTCTGGTGGCCGGGCTTTCATCCATGGGGCCCAGTCGGGCTCAGCCCGAAACAACCACATGGAGCCGCCGCCCTGTAGGCTCACCACCCGCAGGGAGAGGCATGGGGGACGGGTGGCAGGTGGAGGCGGACCGGCTTAATCTCGGGGCCTTGTTCACGAGTGAGGGTAGGATGGAGCGTGAGATCGACAGACGGATTGGGGCGGCGTCAGCAGTAATGCAGGCGTTGTGCTGGACCGTTGTGGCGAAGAGAGGGCGGAGCCTGAAGGCAACGCTCTTGATTTATCGGTCGATCGACGTTCCAACCCTCACCTGTGGTCATGAGCTCAGGGGTAGTGACGGAAAGAATAACATCGCGGATACAAGCGGCCGACATGAGTTTATTCTGAAGGGTGGCTAGACTCAGAGTTAGAGAGAGGGGGAGGAGCTTAGACATTCAGGGGGAGGAGGTCGGAGTAGAGCCGCCGCTCCTCCGCATCGAGAGGATCCAGTTGAGGTGGTTTAAGCGTCTGTTAAGGAGGAGACCCAGAACACACTGGAGGAATTATATGTCCCGTCTAGCCTGGGAACGCCTCAGAATCCCCCAGGAGGAGGAGCTAGGAGAGGGACGGCTGACTTACTGCGCCTGCTACCACCGCCACCCGACTTCGGATAAGAGGAAGAAAATGGAGGGATGAGTTTACCTCCATGCAGATCTGGTAGAGCACGAGGCACGCTGTGTGATGGAACAGACGGTTTCTCTTCCAGGTAAACTCCACCACGTCCTCCTCCACCTCATGGATCACTGACACACAAACAGACACATTTCAACCTTTGTTGGATTTGTGTGTTTTTGATCACAGGTGAGTTTGTACCTGATCACAGGTGAGTTTGTACCTTTGATCTTGTAGAAAGTTTCAGGTAGAAACGCCTGGATGGCTTTGAATCGCTCCACCACGAAACCCAGCGTGGGAAACTGACAGCTGCCGTATGAGATCAGCTGATTGGACAGAGATTCTGGAAAGATCTTCTGCAGACGAAGCGTCTGGAATCGAGTGAAAGACGCACCTGTACAGGTGAGAAGACGTGATCAGCCACCAGCGTTGTAATCAAAGTGTATTGATCATTTTTAAAAAGCGCCTCCTCACCTATCCGAAGGTCGAGCTCCTGGCGAACATCAACCGCATCGCTGACGTTCACGTCGGGCTCCGTCAGACTCTCACAGGCTCGACGAATCGACTGCTGAGTGATCTCAGAAAACTTTGCCCGAAAGACGCGAAGGTTCGGCTTCACTGGAAAGATTCAGAGCACAGAAACGTTTACAGACTGCAGCAGGTTAGCCTAGCTTAGCATTAAGACAATCACACAGACTGAACCCTCGTGGTCATTCTTTGAGTCCGCCTCAGTATTCTGAACTTTTCAGCATGGATACTAACTTCCTGGTTTTGTCCAGTATGGTTTGGTTGTATTTTAATTCCCACAATGCAGTGCAAAGTTAAACGTAAAACGTCACTTCACGTGTGCCTCCAAATCAAAACAAACGAGGACGGGTTAAATAAATCAGTTTTTAATTTAGAGTCCGAATGAAATCTAACAAATGTCTGAATTATTATAAAACCTTTCCCCCTCTATTTAAATAATGATTCTTTATTGATTTATTTTATATTCTGTATATTTCTGTCTTTCTTCTTTCCTTTATGTTCTGGATGTTATTTAGTTATTTAATCTTTTACTTGATTTACTTTGTGATATTGTTTTTGTTTACCTGACTGAATATGAGCATTACTCTTCTTGAATAAAGATAAACAAAAAACAACGGTTTCAAGGTATGAATCAGACGAAGTAGGAACAAATATCTGTTTAGTGAGCAGCAGGTCCTAACAGGAAACAGTAAACAGCAGATAGACTGACTGGAGACACTTTGCACCCTGAACACAACGATCAAAGATAAAAGATGTGTTACTCTGACACCTAGTGTTTAGAATGAGTACTGCAGATAGCCTCTTATGTCGTGCACCTCGTGTACAGAGGCTATAGTGCTTGTCCCAGCGATTGTGGGTTCAAATCCGAGCCCGGCCCTTGCGGGCATTACCTGCTCTGCAGACGTTGATGACTTCAAAGCCGATGTTTTCTCCCTCTCTGTCACAGTCGGTCCAGATGACTAAAGCCTGACACTGCCTCACTTCTTTCTCCAGAGTACGCTGAACACAAACAACAGAAAGAAGTCGTTAGGCATTTCAATCTGATAACCACTTTGATAGTCGGTCATCATATTCAGTGAAGAAGCATACCTTGATTTGAATCATGTTCTCTGGACAGTATTTCTCCACCTCGGCATCAAACAGCAGCACAGGGTTACAGCTGTGCCTTAAGAGAGAGACGCTGCTGTGAGATGCTGAACAACCATGAAATAAAAAAGAGAAATCTGACTCTTACTGACCATTTCTGAAACTGTGCTTTGAACTCCAGGCCCAGTAAATGTCCAGAGACCGACGTCATGGTTATGGTCACGTCCTGCAGAGAGATAGAGAATGATCAGAGACACAGACAGACACAGACACAGACACACACAGACACAGACACAGACACACACACACACACACACACACACACACACACACACACACACACACACACACACACACACACACACACACACACACACACACACACACACACACACACACACACACACACACACACACACACACACACACACACACACACACACACACACACACACACACACACACACACACACACACACACACACACACAGTCTACACTTTCTTACCTGACCAAGGAGATGATACTCATACTCATAGATTTTATTAAACTTGGACATCCCTTCTCTCTGAAATGAAAAAAAGACAGTCAGTAAGAAAAACAGTGGAAATAAACTGTTCATTAGTTTATGAATATTATTATTATATATTAGTTTGGGTATATTTAATGTACCCCCCCTCAGCCTGGGCCGGATCGTAGCGGTCCTGAACTCTGTTTGTGTTTCACTCTGTGTTTTGTGTTTGAATGTTGTTTGGTGTAAATGATCTGTGTTGACAGTAACAGTGTACAGGTATATAGTTAGTAAAGTGAGGGTGTTATATTGATGTGGTAAAGCTGTAGTTAAGGTATCTCGGGTTAGTTAAGGTATCTCGGGTTAGTTAAGGTATCTTGGGTGTAGTTAAGGTATCTTGGGTGTAGTTAAGGTATCTCGGGTTAGTTAAAGTATCTTGGGTGTAGTTAAGGTATCTCGGGTTAGTTAAAGTATCTTGGGTGTAGTTAAGGTATCTTGGGTGTAGTTAAGGTATCTTGGGTGTAGTTAAGGTATCTCGGGTTAGTTAAAGTATCTTGGGTGTAGTTAAGGTATCTCGGGTTAGTTAAAGTATCTTGGGTGTAGTTAAGGTATCTTGGGTGTAGTTAAGGTATCTCGGGTTAGTTAAAGTATCTTGGGTGTAGTTAAGGTATCTCGGGTTAGTTAAGGTATCTTGGGTGTAGTTAAGGTATCTCGGGTTAGTTAAAGTATCTTGGGTGTAGTTAAGATATCTCGGGTTAGTTAAGGTATCTCGGGTTAGAAAAAGTATCTTGGGTGTAGTTAAGGTATCTTGGGTTAGTTAAGGTATCTCGGGTTAGTTAAGGTATCTTGGGTGTAGTTAAGGTATCTCGGGTTAGTTAAAGTATCTTGGGTGTAGTTAAGATATCTCGGGTTAGTTAAGGTATCTCGGGTTAGTTAAAGTATCTTGGTTGTAGTTAAGATATCTTGGGTGTAGTTAAGATATCTTGGGTGTAGTTAAGGTATCTCGGGTTAGTTAAAGTATCTCGGGTGTAGTTAAGGTATCTCGGGTTAGTTAAAGTATCTTGGGTGTAGTTAAGGTATCTCGGGTGTAGTTAAGGTATCTCGGGTGTAGTTAAGGTATCTCGGGTTAGTTAAGGTATCTCGGGTTAGTTAAGGTATCTTGGGTTAGTTAAGGTATCTCGGGTTAGTTAAGGTATCTCGGGTGTAGTTAAGGTATCTCGGGTGTAGTTAAGGTATCTCGGGTTAGTTAAAGTATCTTGGGTGTAGTTAAGATATCTCGGGTTAGTTAAGGTATCTCGGGTTAGTTAAAGTATCTTGGGTGTAGTTAAGGTATCTTGGGTGTAGTTAAGGTATCTCGGGTTAGTTAAGATATCTCGGGTTAGTTAAAGTAACTTGGGTTAGTTAAAGTAACTTGGGTTAGTTAAAGTAACTCGGGTTAGTTAAGGTATCTCAGGTTAGTTAAGGTATCTCGGGTTAGTTAAGGTATCTCGGGTTAGTTAAAGTATCTCGGGTTAGTTAAGGTATCTCGGGTTAGTTAAAGTAACTCGGGTTAGTTAAGGTATCTCGGGTTAGTTAAGGTATCTCGGGTTAGTTAAAGTAACTGGGGTTAGTTAAAGTAACTGGGGTTAGTTAAAGTATCTCGGGTTAGTTAAAGTATCTCGGGTTAGTTAAGGTATCTGGGGTTAGTTAAAGTATCTCGGGTTAGTTAAGGTATCTCGGGTTAGTTAAGGTATCTCGGGTTAGTTAAAGTATCTCGGGTTAGTTAAGGTATCTCGGGTTAGTTAAGGTATCTCGGGTTAGTTAAGGTATCTGGGTTAGTTAAAGTATCTCGGGTTAGTTAAGGTATCTCGGGTTAGTTAAAGTATCTTGGGTTAGTTAAAGTATCTCGGGTTAGTTAAGGTATCTCGGGTTAGTTAAAGTATCTCGGGTTAGATAAGGTATCTGGGGTTAGTTTACAGTTATAGTTTGATAAAGTGAGAGTTAGTTAAAGGTGTAGTTAAAGTATCTCGGGTTAGTTAAGGTATCTCGGGTTAGTTAAGGTATCTCGGGTTAGTTAAAGTATCTCGGGTTAGTTAAGGTATCTGGGGTTAGTTAAAGTATCTCGGGTTAGTTAAAGTATCTTGGGTGTAGTTAAGGTATCTGGGGTTAGTTAAAGTATCTCGGGTTAGTTAAAGTATCTTGGGTGTAGTTAAGGTATCTTGGGTGTAGTTAAGGTATCTGGGGTTAGTTAAGGTATCTCGGGTTAGTTAAGGTATCTCGGGTTAGTTAAAGTATCTTGGGTGTAGTTAAGGTATCTGGGGTTAGTTAAGGTATCTCGGGTTAGTTAAGGTATCTCGGGTTAGTTAAGGTATCTCGGGTTAGTTAAAGTATCTTGGGTGTAGTTAAGGTATCTCGGGTTAGTTAAAGTATCTTGGGTGTAGTTAAGGTATCAGGGGTTAGTTAAGGTATCTCGGGTTAGTTAAGGTATCTCGGGTTAGTTAAAGTATCTCGGGTGTAGTTAAGGTATCTGGGGTTAGTTAAGGTATCTCGGGTTAGTTAAGGTATCTCGGGTTAGTTAAAGTATCTTGGGTGTAGTTAAGGTATCTGGGGTTAGTTAAGGTATCTCGGGTTAGTTAAAGTATCTCGGGTTAGTTAAGGTATCTCGGGTTAGTTAAGGTATCTCGGGTTAGTTAAAGTATCTCGGGTTAGTTAAGGTATCTCGGGTTAGTTAAGGTATCTCGGGTTAGTTAAGGTATCTGGGGTTAGTTAAAGTATCTCAGGTTAGTTAAGGTATCTCGGGTTAGTTAAGGTATCTGGGGTTAGTTAAGGTATCTGGGGTTAGTTAAAGTATCTCGGGTTAGTTAAGGTATCTCGGGTTAGTTAAGGTATCTCGGGTTAGTTAAGGTATCTGGGTTAGTTAAAGTATCTCAGGTTAGTTAAGGTATCTCGGGTTAGTTAAGGTATCTGGGGTTAGTTAAGGTATCTGGGGTTAGTTAAAGTATCTCGGGTTAGTTAAGGTATCTCGGGTTAGTTAAAGTATCTCGGGTGTAGTTAAGGTATCTGGGGTTAGTTAAGGTATCTCGGGTTAGTTAAGGTATCTCGGGTTAGTTAAAGTATCTCGGGTTAGTTAAGGTATCTGGGGTTAGTTAAGGTATCTCGGGTTAGTTAAAGTATCTCGGGTTAGTTAAGGTATCTGGGGTTAGTTAAGGTATCTCGGGTTAGTTAAAGTATCTGGGGTTAGTTAAGGTATCTCGGGTTAGTTAAAGTATCTGGGGTTAGTTAAGGTATCTGGGGTTAGTTAAAGTATCTCGGGTTAGTTAAGGTATCTGGGGTTAGTTAAGGTATCTGGGGTTAGTTAAAGTATCTCGGGTTAGTTAAGGTATCTGGGGTTAGTTAAGGTATCTGGGGTTAGTTAAGGTATCTGGGGTTAGTTAAAGTATCTCGGGTTAGTTAAGGTATCTGGGGTTAGTTAAGGTATCTGGGGTTAGTTAAGGTATCTGGGGTTAGTTAAGGTATCTGGGGTTAGTTAAAGTATCTCGGGTTAGTTAAGGTATCTGGGGTTAGTTAAGGTATCTTGGGTTAGTTAAGGTATCTGGGGTTAGTTAAGGTATCTCGGGTTAGTTAAAGTATCTGGGGTTAGTTAAAGTATCTGGGGTTAGTTAAGGTATCTGGGGTTAGTTAAGGTATCTTGGGTTAGTTAAAGTATCTGGGGTTAGTTAAGGTATCTCGAGTTAGTTAAAGTATCTGGGGTTAGTTAAAGTATCTGGGGTTAGTTAAGGTATCTGGGGTTAGTTAAGGTATCTTGGGTTAGTTAAGGTATCTCGGGTTAGTTAAGGTATCTGGGGTTAGTTAAAGTATCTCGGGTTAGTTAAGGTATCTCGGGTTAGTTAAAGTATCTGGGGTTAGTTAAGGTATCTGGGGTTAGTTAAGGTATCTCGGGTTAGTTAAGGTATCTGGGGTTAGTTAAGGTATCTGGGGTTAGTTAAGGTATCTTGGGTTAGTTAAGGTATCTCGGGTTAGTTAAAGTATCTCGGGTTAGTTAAGGTATCTCGGGTTAGTTAAGGTATCTCGGGTTAGTTAAGGTATCTCGGGTTAGTTAAGGTATCTGGGGTTAGTTAAGGTATCTGGGGTTAGTTTACAGTTATAGTTTGATAAAGTGAGAGTTAGTTAAAGGTGTAGTTAAGGTAACTACCCTCCTGGCCCTCCCCCCGGACAGGATCTCGGAGATGCTCTTAGCAGCATCGTTCTTCTCGGCCACACACAGAACTTTCCGGATCTGAACCCGGTTCCGGTTCATGTCGGCCGGCCGAGCTGAGTCCAAACACCCGCTGAAAACCCTCCGTAGGACGGATGGCTGCTGTAGTCCAGATCTAAGCAAAGACCTCCAGAGGAGGTGCTGTAACATACCTGTCCGCTCCTCTCACCTGACGCAGACTCTGCGGTGTTAGCATGGTAACTAACCTAGCTAACAGAAGCCATGACTCCAAACACAGAAACAAAAAGAGCTAAAAAGAGTTCACCTGCTCTCTGACGTCACTCCTAAACAATAAAACCGAGTAATGAAAACAACAATGACGATAATCTGTAAAAAACCTGCAGAATAAAAACTTTTAAAGAGCAGAAACAGTGACAGGCTAACTGTTTACAAACTCCGCGCCCGCCTGTCAAACACTGCCGGAAATACTGCCGTAAAGAAGGACGTAAAACTGACGTAAAGTCTTTGCACCACCAAAGCGTTTATTTTGAAACGAATTCATTGCAAAGTGAAAATATTAAACTTGATTTAGTCTGTATATAAAAACATGGATCTACTGTTGTTTATCTCATTATATACATTTTAATGAGGACCGTGACGTCACATTAGGGAACATTAGAAACCCAACAGTAAAGAAGTTTTGGAGACTTTATTTCTGACTTCATTCATAAGAAAAAAAAAAGTTTATTTTATTTGGGTAGAATGTTTGTTAGAGCAGTAAACATAAAACCACTTGTGTGTAGGGTTAGCACACACACTGAGGACACACACACACAAGTGTGTGTCCTCAGTGTGTGTGCTCAGTGTGTGTGCTCAGTGTGTGTCCTCAGTGTGTGTCCTCAGTGTGTGTCCTCAGTGTGTGTGCTCAGTGTGTGTCCTCAGTGTGTGTGCTCAGTGTGTGTGCTCAGTGTGTGTCCTCAGTGTGTGTCTCAGTGTGTGTCCTCAGTGTGTGTGCTCAGTGTGTGTCCTCAGTGTGTGTGCTCAGTGTGTGTCCTAAGTGTGTGTCTCAGTGTGTGTCCTCAGTGTGTGTGCTCAGTGTGTGTCCTCAGTGTGTGTCCTAAGTCGTGTGTCCTAAGTTGGTGTCCTCAGTGTGTGTCCTCAGTGTGTGTTCTAAGTGTGTCCTTCAGTGTGTGTCCTCAGTGGTGTGCTCAGTGTGTGTCTCAGCTGTGTGTCTAGTGTGTGTCCTAAGTGTGTGTCCTCAGTGTGTGTCCTCAGTGTGTGTGCT